TGTGTGTGTGTGTGTGTGTGTGTGTGTGTGTGTGTGTGTGTGTGTGTGTGTGTCAACAACATGTAAGCCACCGTCAAAATTGTCAATTTGACATGAACATCAACGAGCCGGCTGGGTGTTTTTTCTGTGAAAAGTTGGTGAGTCCCCAATGTCCCAAATGGACCAGTAGACTACTGGATTTGACAGAGCCCGTGACCAGTCTGGCGTTGCAGATTGGTGATCATTACATTCCATGGACCCCAAGGCAGCCACTGTGCATGGGAAGACCTCGCCGTGTCCGAGTGCAGCTGCCTGCATATCAGGAACGGAAACTGTCTGGGCAAAGAGAGGATTCCAGTCTCGAGCAATCTCCTGCCTGTGTCGCCAGAGGATTCCGAGCTTCGCGCAGAGAGATTTTCCTTGCAAACTCTATGGAATGGTGCTTTACAATTCTCAAGCATCACAGGAATTTGCAGCCAAGAATCATGGCTCGGTAGTCTCGACCCATGGCGAATGGCAAGAAAACAAGAAAACACCAGCCACTAGAACTCAAAGCAATTGGGTGGTATGTCATCGTAGAAGGGTGACAGGACTATGCAGCAGACCTTGGTCCAACAATGGGTAGCCAGCAACCGTGATGCCTGCTGAGCCAACAGCTGACATGCATGCTGAGCCAACAGCTAACATGCATGCAATTATGGGGGGTTGCACGATAAAGCTTGCGAACATGTGATGCCTCAAAATGGTGACACATTTTTTTTGAGCGCTTGAAAGGATAAGCAAGAGCAAACCAAGCACTTGGATGAGATGCCTAAGTTTGAGACATGCAAATGTGAGGCAAGATGTTTCACCTGGGAACTTGCGCCTGCTCAAACTCCTCGCGGGTGATGGTTCCGCTGCCATCTCTGTCGAGTCTGCTGAACAAGTCCCCAGCAGAAACCTCAGGCCGTCTCTGGATTCAAGGGTAACTTGCAAAGGCAAAGCCATAAGTCTTCGACAGGGCCACCGGATGAGTATCTTTGAGTCTGTGTGAAGACACCGGAGGACGGTGCCTGCGGTGGGGTAGCAGCACCTCCGTACCCTCCATACCTGGGCAATGTGTGCTGATTCATGAGTGAAAAGCAATGCAAAGCGGAGACGGCGCACGTCATCATGACACTGCCCTGGCAGTCTCGAGTACATCCGACTTCATCCAACAAATAGCTCTGGCAACGCATCGCTGCAAGCTGGCAAGGCTGACTGGTGCGCCAGACCTGGGCAACGGCAACGCTAGAGCACCATCAGCTTGAGTCTCTCTTGTGTAAAGCGTCGACGACATCTGGGCTTGCTGCATGCCCTGCTGCATGCCCTGCTGCATGGTGGCAAAGGGATTGGCAGCGCTAAAGCTACCTCGCTGCGCCTGAATGAGCACAGGAGCAGGCGATGTAAGGGCTGCCAATATTATGTTGCGTGTTCGTAATTCATCAAAGTGCAACACTGACATGACACAGTACATTTCAAGCTTTTCAAGTTGACGACTTGTGTACTTCAGGCATTGCTTGGTGTGGTCATCTCATTGTGGTCTGAACATGTGAGCTCATGTGAATTTACGATTCTGTAGTGAAACCCTCAATATTTGACAGCATCTTCTCTGCTCGCCTCACATCGAGACAGTTCAACGAGGCTACTACTAGTACCCAAAAAGAGCCTGGGATCCAGAACCGTCTGCATCCATTCTGCCGCTGCCATAGACCTTAGGTCCACCCTTGTGCTCACTGCTTGCTGCGTTTGGCGCGATCAGTGCAGTACCTTACTGCTTAAGTCTTCGACAGGGCCACCGGATGAGTATCTTTGAGTCTGTGTGAAGACACCGGAGGACGGTGCCTGCGGTGGGGTAGCAGCACCTCCGTACCCTCCATACCTGGGCAATGTGTGCTGATTCATGAGTGAAAAGCAATGCAAAGCGGAGACGGCGCACGTCATCATGACACTGCCCTGGCAGTCTCGAGTACATCCGACATCATCCAACAAATAGCTCTGGCAACGCATCGCTGCAAGCTGGCAAGGCTGACTGGTGCGCCAGACCTGGGCAACGGCAACGCTAGAGCACCATCAGCTTGAGTCTCTCTTGTGTAAAGCGTCGACGACATCTGGGCTTGCTGCATGCCCTGCTGCATGCCCTGCTGCATGGTGGCAAAGGGATTGGCAGCGCTAAAGCTACCTCGCTGCGCCTGAATGAGCACAGGAGCAGGCGAGCGAACTGCGGGTCAAGCCTTTGAAGTGTTCGGCTCCTGGGGGGGGCATGGGGCATGTTTCAGCGGTTGCTGAATTAACGCTTCCATTTTGAAAAGAATCCTTCATGTTGCCAAACGCACAGGATCCAAAGCCCTGTGACACGTACCGAGCACCCCGGCCATAGATGGCTGAGGCGGAGTTGGGGCATTGCCATACCTGCAGGGACCAGGCATCAGCTGACCCTTTCTAATTTGCGGTGCAAGGCACGGCCATTTGGTGGCCAGCCATTAAACTTCGATCTATGTCCTTGCCCCAACCACTCTTAAGGATGTTCCACTGTCTTACCTAGGTTCATAGTTTTCCTTTGCCCAGACTTCTGATTGGTGTTGTCGGCTTCCCAACTTTGCGTCTGTGTCCCTACCATCAGCCCCTTTGGCTTTTCGCAGAGGGTTCAAATCCAAGACGCCCTGCGCGACCAAAACACTGAGCACCACACTGGGTGCCGCCTGCAAAGCCCTGGCTGCCCTGGGCAAAGCCCTGGCTACCCGACCGGGCGTGGCTGGTTTGGGTTGCTTGCAACGGCCAAAAATCCCCGTGTCTCAAATAAGCACAAAGAAGCTGGTTTCACCAAAAGCGATTTCAACAGCTCAAAGAAGTGGAGGTTGTTTAGCAAATGTTGGTTCAAACATGTCACAACCCTAGAATCCCTTTCGCTCCCTTTGGCCTGGGCAGTGGGTGGTCCAAAGCCCATTGCCATGGAGCCCATGGAGACCTCGCATGGATTCCACTCAATGCATCTCAAAGCACTGGCACATGGCATTTTGATGGGGACCCTCTCGTGAACTTCCTTCATCATTTGCGCGGACTACGGATGAAGAACCAGCCCCCGGCTTGGGCTTCTTTCGCTTGGAAAGGTCCCCTGCTCAGAGACATGCCAAAAGAGGCTGGGGCGCAGTCCCAGAAACTGAGGAAGTAACCGCATTTCTGCACGGTACACTCACCTCCACCTCCTCCAATATCTATGTATACATTTGTATACATTTACATACAAATATATATATATATATATGTATATGCGTATATATATATATTGACCGCTCATTTCGACTGCTCCGCCCCAGGGCCCCAGCGCTCTGCGTTGGCCCATACCCTCCGGAGGCAGGTCCGAAATTTGCGCCCAGGCTCATCGAGCCCATGGACACCTGGGACTCGACTCAGCCCGATGGAAGTTGAAACAACAACCCCGATGCTCGAGGGAGAACACAAGTCCATCTTGAGCTCGCTGAGTAAATATGCATATCCACTGATGTTCAACCAGACATGTGATGCTTCACAAGGCAGTCTCGCAAGCCCAAGTGGCACTCTGTGGCGGTCCATATGTCATGGTGCCGCCTGCGTTGATGGAGCCCATAGATCCCTCAGATGGGGTTGCCCAACAGCGCTACCAAAACCAGCCTCGACAAGAAGGCCAAACCTCCAACTGCGGCATTTGTGGAAGGTTCCTTCGAGAAAAGGGAATCCTTTTCACCAAAAACACTTTCGCAGGCGCCTATATAGGGTGCCCACAAAAAGAACAAAAAAAAGACGCGCCCATACAAGTTACGGGCCTAAAGGGGTGGGAGTGCCGCAAGTGCCGCAAGGCTGCCGGCGGAGCAGGCACAGATGAGGAGGAGACAGCCGGCATACTACCGTATGGGCCCGACTGGTACATCCCACCTCCAGCTCCAACCTCAACTCAATGTCAAACAAGTATGTGACCACAATCCGGCTCTCTCCATTGTGACTTCACAACTTGACACCTGAAAAGTGCCCCCAAACCCATTCCAACTGTGTAGAAGAACTCTCTTCTAGAACGGAGGGGTTTTTGGGCGCAAAAGTGACGCCATGGCGTGCATGTTCAGCTCGCCTCATCTGACGGATAGTATCGGGTCGAGATTTAATTTGGGATTTGTTTTTCCCCAGATAGCTGAAAGCTATAGGGGTTCTAACTTCTAATAAAGAGTGGAAAGTGATTTGCGAGATTGAGGGCCGGGTGCTAGGGGGCATGCAGTTTGGGGTGCTGGTGGATGCTGCTTTCCAAGCTTGACGGCCGGGTGTTAGGGGGCATGCAGTTTGGGGGTGCTGGTGGATGCTGCTTTGCGAGCTTGACGGCCGAGTGCTAAGGGGCATGCAGTTTGGGGTGCTGGTGGATGGCTTGACGGCCGGGTGCTAAGGGGCATGCAGTTTGGGGTGCTGGTGGATGCGGTTTGGGGTGCTGGTGGATGCTGCTTTGCGAGCTTGACGGCCGGGTGCTAGGGGGCATGCAGTTTGGGGTGCCGGTGGATGCTGTTTTGCGAGCTTGACGGCCGGGTGCTAGGGGGCAGGGGCACGCAGTTTGGGGGGCTGGTGGATGCTGTTCGCGCGTAACGGTTCGTGGCTGGTGTATCGTCATGATGTTCCCAACCACGTCATGATGCAACTGGGGTCACTGCGATGCTGCGTTATGGTTTGTGGTTGTAGTGGCGCCGTGATGCTGTCAACATCAGGATGATGCTGATACGCTGTCACAAGATGGTTCGTGGCTGTATCATCATGATGCTGCCTTTACCATCAGCATGATGCCGTTTGCATCACCATGATGCTGTCCGCATCATCATGATGCTGTCCGCATCATCATGATGCCGTCGAACTCACCAGAACTGTATCAGCATGATGCTTTCAACATCATCATTATGCTGCTGAACTCATTAGGACGTTGTATGCGCGTTTGTAGCGCACCATGCTCAGTGGCTGCGGTATCATCATGGTGCTGTCTACATCATCATGATAATGCTGCGTCATGGTTCGTAGCCGTGGTGTGCTATCTGGGGTCTATGCTGGTGTAGTTGTTTTGTTTTATTTTGGGTTTTTTTTTGTTTTCCGTCCTGGCTACTAAAATGCTGTAATTTACAGCATTTTCTCGCGAAATGTACGTATTTTACGCTAGTCCGTCAACATCATCAGCATCGTTTTCAACATCCCCCGCATGTCCAGCATCACCAGCATCACCAGCAAATTGGCTTCCCGCATCTCATGGTAAAAGTGAGGATTCAAATACGGGCAAACTAATCCCTGTAAAACACCTAAAACGTGGCGGAAGCCCCCCCCATGATGATTGAAAAAGTGACGACGGCAGCCCCCCCCCCCATGATGATTGAAGAAGTGATGATTCCAAAAGGGCCAAAACAAAAACAAACAACAAAAACAAAAAAAAACAAAAAAAACAGTGGGGGGGGGGTTCAGTTCCTCTGCGGCAAGGCCTCATGGTACAAGTGAGGATTCAAATACGGGCAAACTAATCCCTGTAAAACACCTAAAACGTAGTTAGGGCCAAAAAAATATTAAAAAAAGCAGCGGGGGGGTGAACAGTTCCACCACGGCAAGGCCTCATGGTACAAGTGAGGATTCAAATACGGGCAAACTAATCCCTGTAGATCGAAAAAGTGATGATTCAATCAGGGGCAAAAAGTCTAAAAAATAGCGGGGGGGTTGGGGGGGGCGGCAGCCCCCCCCATGATGATCAAAAAATTAAGGGCAAAGAATCTAAAAAGGAGCGGTCGCATGATAATCGAAAAAGTGATGATTCAATTAGGGGCAAAAAGTCCAACAAATAGCGGGGGGGTTGGGGGGGGCGGCAGCCCCCCCCATGATGATTGAAGAAGTGATGATTCAAGAAGGGCCAACCAAAAAAAAAAAACAGCCGGGGGTCATCAGTTCCTCTGCGGCAAGGCCTCATGGTACAAGTGAGGATTCAAACACGGGCAAACTAATCCCTGTAAAACACCTAAAACGTAGCGGGGGGGGGCGGCAATTCCCTCCATGATGATTGAAAAAGTGATGATTCAATTAAAGGCGTGGGGAGGGGGTTGGGGGGGGGGCGGCAGCCCCCCCATGATGATCGAAAAAGTGATGATTCAATCAGGGACAAAAAGTCTAAAAAATAGCGGGGGGGTTGGGGGGGGGGCGGCAGCCCCCCCCATGATGATCGAAAAATTAGGGGCAAAGAATCTAAAAAGTAGCGGTCGCATGATGATCGAAAAAAGTGATGATTCAATTAGGGGCAAAAAGTCCAACAAATAGCAGGGGGGTTGGGGGGGGCGGCAGCCCCCCCCCATGATGATCAAAAAAGTGATGATTCAATCAGGGGCAAAAAGTCTAAAAAATTGCGGGGGGGTTGGGGGGGGCGGCAGCCCCCCCCCATGATGATTGAAAAAGTGATGATTCAATTAGGGCCAAACAAAAAAAAAAAAAAAAAAAACAGCAGGGGGGTCATCAGTTCCTCTGCGGCAAGGCCTCATGGTACAAGTGAGGATTCAAATACGGGCAAACTAATCCCTGTAAAACGGCACCCCCCCCCATGATGATCGAAAAATAGTCAAATAGGCGTGCATTTTAATGGGGTGGCGGGGGGGGGCCCAGAGAGGAACTTGCGATGCTGAGGATGCAGGAAGCCAACTGGGAAAGCATCAGGATGCGAAAAGCCAAAGCCAGAAAGCCGCCAAAAGCCAAAAAGCCAAAAAGCCAAAAAGCCAAAAAGCCACCTGCCGCAGCGGAACTGGCAATGCAGAGGATGCGACAAGAGAGGAACTGTGAATGCAGATGATGCGAAATGAAAAGCCACGAAAGCCACATAAAAGCCACAAAAGCCAAAAAGCCGAAAAGCCACCGACCCTGAAAAACAAAAATAATTTCAAAAAAAAAATGAAAAAAAAACCTAAAAAAAATGGCCCTCCGATAGTATCTGACTTCAATATCTGTTTGTTGCGTGATCTTGATGAATGTCAGGCCCTTCCCAACAGCCAGCAGATGCTGCAGCCAAGACACGCCCGAGGGGAATACTGCTGAACCCATATCCATCTGGGTCCCACTAGGAAAGCGAGTTGGTGTCCCACCACCAAAGCCAGTTGGTGTCCCACCACCAAACGCCTCAAAAGGCAGACAGAGCAAGATTGTAGTCACCAGTCTTGCAATCCAGAAAACGCAAAGGAACTACAGCTTGCATTTCGATCGTGCCTTGGCAAACTCCTCCCTGGTGATGGCCCCACTGCCATCTGCATCGGCTCTACCGAAGAGATCGCTCGCCTGAGACACAGCCAGGGGCAATGGCACTCGCATAACATAGTTGCACAAGCACACCTTGAAGAGCCCGCCTGGCTAGGGCCTCTCTGACCAGCCCCCATGTGACCAGGGCCCATCTGGCCACCAGGGCCGCCAGGGCCGGCGCCACATCCGCCAGGGCCGCCAGGGCCCATCTGGCCAGGGCCGGGGCCACAAGGACCAAAGCCGCCAGGGCCGCCGCCAAAGCTGCCAGGGTCAGAGCCGCCTCCAGGGCCGATCTGGCCGCCAGGTCCGCCGCCGCCAGGGCCGCCAGGGCCCGTCTGACCAGGGCCAACCTGGCCAGGGCCCTCGTGACAAGTCCTCAAAAGGTGAGTCATAATCAAATCCTGGCATTTAAATGGTCGAATTAGAACCATGTAAAGAACTAAGAAGGCGGCCGCAGCTATTTATGGCTGGGATTCTCCCTTACTAACCTTCACTTATCCGGGTTTTGATTGTGGCTCAGGTGGCGACTAGACAAGAGAGGAGAGATGCGCCTGCAAACCAATGCTTTGCTCAGGGTTCCCTATGTTTTGCCCCAAGTTCTTGGGGGCACTGGGAACACTTTGTTTGGCTGGTTTGATGCAAAAAGGGAAACCCGCACCTTTCGTCAAACCCACAAAATGTTGCTGCTTCAAACACGCCGGGCTGGCGGGCGTCTGTGACGGCACCGGGGGCAAGGTGTAGGTCTTGGAGACCACTGGCCCACTGAGAACTGGCTGTGCCGGCGCGTTCGAAGGGGCCACCGCGCTGGGGGGGAGCACCACACCGTCCTCGTTGGTCGGCACCGCCACCTGGAAAGAATCAATCAGATTTGATAATCAAATACTCAGATGCCTTTTTTTGGAAGAGCAGATCTTGTCAGAGACTCCGCACGCTCAAGGCGCCTGCTTCACAACCTCCAACGTCTGCACATAGGGTGTGGGCACCGGGATCTCTCGCTCGACCTCCTGCCTGACCTTCGTTTTGGCAAATAGGCATCTTTTTGGCACCCCAAAGGCCATATTTTTGGGATCCTCATTTGCAGACAAACCCAATGTGAATAAGTGCGAATGAGACAAAACCGGACCCTCCAAACGGGCTTCCTGTGATGCCCGAAAAAGGTCATTATCTTTGGCAGATGCCCACATGCGACGGAATGGAGGTCTTATGACACTGGGCTTAGATTACAAATCAACTGAGGATGGCACCAAATGTGGAACCGGTCTGTACACGGGTTGTTCAACCTCCTGCACGACCTTCTTGGGAACCTACGAGTCAGCAAAGCAGTCTCATGATCTGCTTGAACTCTAGAAGCACAAGCATCATCATGATCATCATGACCTGCCTGGATGACACGCTCGATGGGAATCTCTCGAACTTCAACGCGCGGAACTCGGCGCACTACTTCGCGCACCTGACGACGTTGGCACTCTCGGATTCAGAACTGAAGTGCCAATGACTTCCTAAGGTGCGAATCGATCCCACCTCTCGCACTTCCACAAGTCTGTCTTGGTACTCGATGTTCGGAACCTGCTGCATCCAACACAAGGGCACTTCTCACTAACTGCATCTGCCTCCACGACTCGTTCAACCTGCTTCACCTCAATCTTTGGCACCTTGGAAAAACAGCACATGTACTCATGCAGCTATTGCACAAGCACTTTCTTGGGCGCTCAAGCAAATTCCGGGTGGCAGGCTTCCCTGGTGATCACTTTCACCGGCAGATTGGCTGGTCTGCCTTTGCCTGCAACATTTTGCCCACTCACAGCCGCAGGTGACAAGGCTAGCGCGCCTTTGCCCCCTTTGCCGCCTTTGCCACCATAGCCACCACCACCACCATAGCCAACACCACAGCCACTACCGTAGCCACCGCCACAGCCACCACCGTAGCCATTCATTCCACTGCCATCCCCGAAGCGGCCATCTGGGCCAAAGCCATTGGCTCCGTCTCCCCCACACCCACCGGGTCCACCGAATCCACCGAACCCGCCTGGCAAGGGCCAAGCAATTCGTCAAGCGACAAGTGACACGCAAAGAGGAGTCGACCCAACAGCCTTTTAAAGAGTTGCAAGGGTGGCCGTGCCTGCAATATGGTTGGGAGAGTCCCCTACGAAACTTGACTCCGCTCCAGCCTTCTCCCATGTAGGGATATTTTCCAGTCGAAGAGCCCAAATCCAAAGCGCCTCCTGTGTAGGCAACGCTGCCCGGCCCATGGCCACCAGAGCCATAGCCACCCGAGCCGCCACAGCCGCCACAGCCGCCACAGCCGCCACAGCCGCCAGGACCGCCACAGCCGCCACAGCCGCCACAGCCGCCATAGCCACCGGGACCGCCATAGCCACCGGGACCGCCTGAGCCATAGCTGCCATCATCCCCAGGGCCGTAGCCGTAGCCGCCACGTCCGGAACCATAGCCGCCAGAGCCATAGCCATCAGCTCCAGGACCTCCGCGCCCACTGCCGTAGTACCCCGAGGCTCCTTGGCTTCCGCTGGGGTTGGATTTAGAAAGCAAAGGCTCCGACCTGCATAGTTGGAGTCGGCTTCCATGACCTACGCTGTTGACATTACCGCACACGTCATCACACCGACAGGCTGCAGGCCTCTTGGATCTGGGGCACCTCAACGATTCTGTCCACCATCTGGATCTCAGGCACCTAAGGCTTCGGACTTGAGTATGTCATGTTTTGCGGGGTACCTTTTTCTGGTGTGGTTCAAAAAAAGATTGAGGGAAATCAAGCATTTCTCTTTTCGAGACACACCCAATTGCTGTGACAAGCCGCACCTCAACGATCCTCTCCACATGATCCACCCGGACTCTGGGCACCTCAACGATTTTCTCCACGTACCTCCATCAGCTGAAGACATGTCACGACAGCTTACCAGTTGTTGGAAGGCCAATCCCACAAGTCCATGCACGCCTTACCATGTCCCGTCCCAGAAGGCTTCAAACTCGTCACCGGTAAGCCCGGCACTCTGGTTCCAGCTCTTGCTCCTCGTACTCCACCTGTTCGCATCGGACCAGCCGCGCCAACCAGCCAATCGGATTCGACCGAGCCTGAGGTGCAGCCGGGGAGGACGTGAGGGCCCCCTGCGCGGCGACCGGGCTCTGAGGCACGGGAAACCCAGATTGAACGGGATCGAAAATAGGAAACGAAACCTCACTTGGGCGTCCCCTATCTTAAGATTCACGCTACGGAATCTATAACATAAAGGACCCTGTAAGATCATGTTTCCGTTTGAAGGAACCTGCAGTCAAATTGAAATTGAGTGAGGGGGAGCTGAATGCAAGCAAGATCGGCTCGGCTGCACATGATTTTCTCATGTCGGTTGAAGCAATGAGAGAGTCTCGATGAGAAATGAATCCATCACAAATTTGGAGGACTGACTGCCTTCCGAAGAGAGGAAGGCTCACCCGTAGCAGGTGGCAGCACCCCCCACAAAAGGGGAAGCGCTTCAATCCATACTCAACAGCCACTTGCAGCACTGTCTGCTTTTCTGAAGATTCTAAGTTGCATCGGTGACATGCCAGCCAATAGTGAGAATTGGCCGTCTGGCAGAAGTGCTGGCCAGCCCGACGCTAAGTGCGTGCACGTCTTCCTGTCGGCGTCAAAGTGTTTTCACCGCCGCTGCTGGGGTAAAGCCCAAGTGGCTGCTGCATGATACACAAGGTTGGCAGGTGTATAGTAAAAGTTTGCATTGCGCCTAGAGTGGGTGCTGGTCCAATGGATATCCTGCAAACACGCACACAAAAACAAACAAACTAACAAACAAGCGCGCGAAGAATTGATCCACCTGCCAAAATCCGCAGACAGGTGAAGCACATTGTTTGCATGAAAACCCGTACAATTGCACGTGGCGAGCCACCAAACGCCCATGCGCCGGCAACAGACATCATGCAGGCTTGGAACCATGCAGTACCGCAAACAGCACAGACGCCAGGGGCACGCCAGTCATCACTCCGGCACCATGCGCTCACTCCAAGGTGAGCTCCGGCAGCCAAGCCTCAAGCACCGGCGTTGCTCGACTTCCGGCGGACGCTTGCTTCCCCAGCCTCCACCTTCGGCGCAGCCTGTCGAAGGGCAAGGCGAAGAAGGGTACCAGCTTCCTGCGAGGTCGAAACAACGCAAGCTTTGCCTTGAGTCCGTACCTAAGGTGTCCCGTGCAACGTGCCACGAGCACTAAACAGTCAACGTGGGCCTCGCTTCAGGATGCAAATTGTGCCAAAGGCAATAGTTCAACGAGGACTAGTTGCACAAAGCGCCGAGACGGATCTACTCCCTAGAATGATATTTTACATGTGGTTCTCCGTGAGGCAAACATAAATCTGCACCAATGCACAGAGATCGGAAACGAAACAGACTGGTGATGATCGAACATATTGACGCAAAACGGATGGTTGTGAGATATGTGTGTGTGTGTATGATGGATGAATAGGTTGAACATATGTATATATATATATATATTATTATTATTATTATTATTATTATTATTATTATTATTATTATTATTATTATTATTATTATTATTATTATTATTATTATTATTATTATTATTATTATTATTATTATTATTATTATTATTATTATTATTATTATTATTATTATTATTATTATTATTATTATTATTATTATTATTATTATTATTATTATTATTATTATTATTATTATTATTATTATTATTATTATTATTATTATTATTATTATTATTATTATTATTATTATTATTATTATTATTATTATTATTATTATTATGCGTATATAGCATAAGGGAAACATGTAACTGGCATGTTTGTGTACTTTCAGATCCTTGGTCTGCATCATGTGTATCTTGTCGCTTGATGAATGATTCTCTCAAATCACAACATGCGCACGTGTCCCTTGAGCACACACTTCCCCTGAGTTGGAGCTTCTTGCAGTTTATAACGTCACCAAATCCTTTCAGAAAGGCGCTGCAGCACGCGGACTACCGTTTCAAGCAGATCATGCAATACCATCCTTTCTGTGTAACATGACACCCACCAATGCTGGACGAACCACGTTTGGCACTGCGAGGAGCGCAGGTGGTGCAATGGCACTGCACGAAGTGCCCAAGAGTGCTGCAAAAAGCACATACTTGACGCTTGACTGCTACAGGTTGCCACATGCTGTGCTTCCATATGCAATACCCTGGTTTTCAAGCGGTTCAATCCGCCTGGGCCCTGTTCTCCTTTTTGTCTTGAAGACTGGGCCGACCAATATTTACCACCAGTAGTTACCAAAATGCTCGGCAACTCAAAGATACAGGCCAATTGCAAACTCAGTTCTGTGCAGTTTGATTTGGGGCATCATGTGTTTTGCTTGTGTTGTTGCGTACTCAATGCCAGGCAGCTTCTCTTCAGCACTGCCTCCTTCGTCCTCATAATAACAGCCACAAAGAGCCCTCCAACCGCCTGGTGAAATAAAAATTAAGCTGCCTGACATCCTGCCAATGCCAGAATTTGTTTGCACGCCCCCCAAGCATCGGCACGAGTTGCAATGTGAAGCAGCAAGTCTAAGGGCATACTCAAGATGGACCACGGCAACAAGGACAACTGTTCGTTTTCTATGGTCACCCTCCCTGAGTTTGGGCCTCTTTTAGCTGTCGTTGCCTAGATGAAGCGCTGAAGCGCTCTGAACTGAAAGCACTTCCTGATGGCATGGGTAGTGATGTGTGGGCTTGCAGGTTTTGTCAATTCTCGAAACTTCTGAGCACTATCTGCCCCCCTCCCGTCATGGGACGGAGGTTTGGCTGCTGCTCAGGCCCTTGGTCAGACAAGGAGAGCTAGCTGCGCAATTTCTGGACTGATTGGGTCTACTATTGCCATGTAACTTTACTTGCAATTCCTTCCGACTGACGACATCCGCCAGAATTTGGAGATCATGCGTGATGCCCTTCCTCCGGAGTCATCTCTTCTCATCAAGAAGCGGCTGTCGCGATGTTTCCTCACTCTCAATCCGTTTCTTATCTGCAGGCGGCGGGGCGCACATGCTATGCTTAAGATTGCCGCTGGGAGGTAGAGATTGGAAACATCAAAATAATTATTTAGTGAATATTAGCAAATGAAATATTGAATGGGAATAGTGAGTTAAAGCAATTGCGAATGGAAATAGTGAATGGGAACAGTGAATGGGAATAGTGAATGGACATACGCCTACATGGCGAGGTGACTAGGAAAAAGCAAAAAAACACTAACCTGCATTACAGTTCACTAAATTTCACTAAATTTCACTAAATTTCACCCAAATTTCACTAAATTTCACTAAAATTCACTAAATTTCACTAAGTTTCACTAAATTTCGCAAATCCAAATTAGTGAAATTTAGTGAAATTTAGTGAACATTACTGAAATTTAGTGAAATTTAATGAAATTTAGCGAAACTAATGAAATTGAATGAAATTTTAGAAAGAGATTCACTAAATTTCACTAAATTTCGAATTTAGTGAAATTTAGTGAAATTTAGCGAAACTCATTAAATTCAATGATTTTTTAGAAAGAGATTCATTAAATTTGACTAAATTTCACTAAATTTCGCAAATCCAATTTATTGAAATTTAGTGAAATTTAGTGGATCTCGTTCTAAAATGTCATTGAATTTCATAAATTTCACTAAATTTTACTAAAATTCACTAAAAATCACTAAAATTCACTAAATTTCACTAAATTGGGCTTGCGAATCTGCAAATCCATGTTTCCCAATTCACAATATTGATTCACTAAATATTTCATTCACTATTTTGATTCACAAACTATTTCACTATATTTCACTAATTTAATTCAACACATGTGTTTCAGTGTCTGCCTGGTCCGGCCATCTTAATGCTATGCCTTGTGGGTAGGTCAAGTTCCGTTCCTTGCGGCGCTATAGCTCCAACTCATGGGACCCGTGCTCGAGGGACACAATGAAGATTCTCTTTGAAAAGACCACTAGGCCTTTTCAAGCAAGTCACACATGGATGCAGAGCAGGGATGCGTGACACAGAAAAAGCGTCTTTTCAAGCATGCGTGCGCCCATGGTCACCTCAAATAAAGCGTATTGTCAAGCAATATACGTGTGCAAACATGGCTTTGTTTCAACATTATTGAGAGTAATTCCCCTGAAATCTTCCTTCAGAGTCTTGAATCTTGAGTCTTGAGAAGCGTGATTTGAAGTCTCTTTGACCTACATGCTATTCAACCCAGCATCTTCGATCTTGAGTCTCATCCACTTGTTAGCGCTTGCAGCTCCAGCTCAGAAACACGCAACTCTTCAGTGCAAGATTAGTGCGGAAAGTACACTTTGGCAGCTTCGACGTGCCTGTAACACGTCTGAGATCGTGCTTTTGCTCTTCTCATTTGCGGGGAAAATCAGCGAACGTTGAATTGTGGGGCAGCTCCTTTCTACCAATCGCTTGCTACAAGTGGATGTGGCTCAATATGCAAGATGCTGGAAAACATGTCTGGCGAATCTGGAACCCCATGCACCTCAAAGTGGCTTTGAAATCAGGCCTCTCAAGACTCAAGGTTCAAGATAGATTTCTGGCGAATGTTGAATCTCAAAACAGTGAAAACCCATTGTGTCTGCTATTTTTGCAACACCATCGCAAAACAATGTATGCATATTACAGGGCTCTTATGTACAATCAAGACAACGACCCCCGGCATATCCACGACCACAACGCCCACCACCGCGGCTGCCACGGTTCAAAACAAAAGCAACGAAAGCAACAATAACTGCAATAATATTTTGTTCAAACAAAAAAAAACACACGCACCCACACACACACACACAAACAGCCGGTCCCGAGTGTGCTTCTTCATTTCAGCTATAACGCATCAGAATCGCGCAACATGACTTTTGCCAGGGTGGCTCTCCTGAGCGCAAGCTCCGTGGAACTCCCGTGGCATCTGTGCTGCCAACGGAGACGCATGCCAAGCGGTCGTGCCTGAACATCAACTCGAACGCGCGTCAAAAAGCATGCTGAACAAAAATGGGGTGTTTCAACAAGAATATAGAAAATAAACATACATCGATACCATCGAAAGTCGGATCAAACATGCAACGCAAACATGCCAGATAATGCTGCACTGGC